CGACGTCCAGGTCTATCTAAGGTGTGGAGTAATAACTACGTTAAAGTGCCTCAGGTGACTCTAATGGGCAGCCAGATCTGAGACCCACTGACAATGAATACAATGAGCCATGGTAGGACAGTGTCCACAGGGAAGTTTTGCTCTGTCCTAGAGGGTCACTATGAGTTAGAATTTACTCTGTGGCAACGTGCTTGATTTGGATGGGTAGTGAGTTCAGCTAGGAGCTGGAAGTTACAGTCTCTCTAAATTAGTAGGCGAATCCTTGCTTCCTCTCTTAATTTCTCCATGTCACAGATGAGAAGAATTATGCTGATTTTTTTCTTTTCTTTTTTTTTTTTTACACATCTTCTTTTATTTTCACCGAAGATAGAATGCTTCTTTTCCCCAGCTCCCCTCAGGACCTACCCTCCTCCCCTCAGCGACGCTCTGCCTTCAGACTCAAGCTGGTCACCATTCAGGGTTGTTTCTGGGAGGAAAGTGGAAGTGGAGTAAGCTGACGCATCAGTTCTCTTTTCCTAATGAGAGAAGCTGAAGCACCCAGGGAGGTCATGACAGTCACTCTAGGAATTGAGAGGAAAGCACGTCCTCAGGATAGAATAAGGATCAGATTGATCTGTTCCATAGGGTTCTTCTAAAGTCCTAGTCAACCCATGGGCATCTCCCCACAACAACCACCTTCCCATGATTCCTGATTTCCCTTCTCACTGTGCCTTTGCAGGTGCTGGGGAGACCCCATTTACATTGTCCATCCTGCAAAGCCCCATCAAATATCTTCCCCCAAAGTCCTTGATTCCACATCCACACACCATATTTCCACTCCTTTTTAAACTCCCTTAGCATTTCTTATACATCATGATAATTTAGTGCCTAGTTTACATAGGGAGCTCTGGTGGCCTAGTGGCAAGAAACTGTGCTGCAATCCTGAAGACACACAATTCGAGGACACCAGATGCTCCTTGGGAGAAGGATGGTCAATCTCTTCCCATGCAACTAACTGCCTCTGAAAACCCACCAGAGGGTCAGCTATGGAACACTACAATTTACACATTAAATGAAAAACTGACTCACCTTAGCATGGGCCTAAAAAAATTTCATTCTATTATAAATAATTGGAAGCAGGAGTGGCATCCACTTCCTAAACAACATGCCTCTGGAAACTCTGTGAACTTTGATAAATGTCAACAGTTGTAGAGGGGCTTCAGGCCTTTTGTTCATTGAGTCACTATGTGTCATGCTCAACTTGAAGACAATCAACAACAACAATAACAAATAAAGTCACCATGAGCTGGAACCAACTCAATGACAACTAACACCACATACTGCCTTGTATTCAACAAAGACCTCCTCTGCTCAATTATAGGTCAAGCCCCTTAAGGACAAGTCGTATTCCTTTAAGTCTCTCCTTCTGTTCTCTCTCACACAAAAAATGTTGGAAATAGCTGCTAATTGCTTCACAGGGACATCTCTTCTACCATTTGCAACCAGAAGAGGATGCACAGTGTTAAAAATCAGCAGATGTTCTTGAATGATTTGCATTTCAATTCTCAAAACTAGCTATTTATATAATTATTGAAGATGTAATACTCTATTAATGTACCCTTTTATAGCCATTAGAAGAGAAGGCTGTTATATGTGTGACAAGTAACAATCTGGAATAAGGGGTGCATTACAAAGTGAATTGGGGAAGAAGGAGTGGAAGGAGAGGGAGGAAAAATGTGCAACAATGAATGAATGAAAAACCAACATTTCTGTAAACTTTCATTAAAATCATAATTTAAAAAATGAAAAGAAATTTAAATCCTTTTTTTTTAAAAAAAAAAGTCATAAATATCCTATCTTGGCCCTAATTGAAACAAGCACAACCGGCATTTCCTAGAGGCAAATCCTGGGCAAAGGCATGGGGTAAAAGCAAGGGATAGTTTATCTCATTGCTACTGTGCCTTCTTATCCAGCATGTTAGGGGTTTGGTCACCTAACAAAGTAGTTAGGAGGTTTGAAGCCAGGGCTTGTTGCTGTTAGGTGCTAAGCTTCAGTCTCCGGGTTAACAGCCAAATACCTTAACCATAGCACCACTGGAGATTACCTGACTGTTGTCCAATTCTATTAATTGAACATCCACTGTATAATAGTGATAGACAATTTATTATAGTAACCGGGTCTCCACAACAGCATAGTATCTTGTTGTTGTTGTTGTAATAATGAGACTAAAAATTAGATTAGAATTGGGTTCCATCAAGTAGGCTCCAACTCACAGCTCTCCTTGGTTCAACAGAACAAACCCTGCCCGATCCTATGCCACCTCACCATTGAGTGCTGTGCTTAAATCTATGGTAGCAACCTCTCTCTGCTTTTCCAAGCATGATGTCTTTCTTCATGGACTGGTCCATCCTGACACTATGCCTAAAATATGTGAGATGAAGTCTCACCATCCATGCTTCTCAGGGGCATTTGGACTGCACTTCTCCAAAGACAGATTTGCTTGCTCCTTCTGGAAGTATATCCTCTAGTCTTCAATATCACAATTCAAAGGCATCAATTCTTCTGTCTTCCTTACTCACTGCTTAAATTTCCTATGAAGCTTGGGTCAGATTCGCTGTAATCCTCAAAATCACTTCTTTTCAAGTGCAAAAGGAGCCCTCTAGCCACAGTGCATTGTGTGCTGTGCTGCTAAGAAACGGCTAGTTTTGAATCCACCAGCTGCTCTATGGGAAAATAATGAGGCAGCGTCCTCTCCTGGAAAACTTGGCAGCAGCTGGTAATCTTTAGTCAAGCTGTTTCCTCATCTGTATAAAGATGCCAATAGCACCCCCTCCTAGAGTTACTATGAAGATTAAATTATTATCAATAGAGAAAACACTTAGGACAGTAAAAGAGCTCTCAATCTGTATCATTGCTGTAATCACTACTGGAGAAAGAGCTGAGGATATGGGAAGACCCTGTCCTAGTGCTATTACCTTTGTGATTTAGGATATAATGCCAAGATTACTATTTCTTCATGTGTAAAGTCTGAATATTGATAATATCCAATGAGCCATGTGGTGAGGTTCAAACACACTAGCACACGTGACTATAGAGTAACGAATATCATCTCTTTTTGCCTGCACCAACAAGCCCCAGTGGTGTAGTGGGTAAACCATTCAGTGGGTGAATCTTTCAGCTGCTAGCCAAAAGGCAGGTGATTTGAACCCCATAGTTACCCCATAAGGGGAAGATGTAGCAGTCTGCTTCCATCCAGATTATAGCCTTGGGCACCCCATGTCCTTCTTCTTGTTGTACCATCAGGATAATACCAACTCATAGCTGACCCTCCAGCAGGTTTTCAGAGGCTAGCTGATAGTCGCACAGGAGGAGATTATCCATCCTTCTCCCACAGAGCAGCTGGTGGATTCATACTGCCTTCGGGATTGCAGTGCTCTTTCTTACCTCTAGGCCACCTCAGTGCTCCCCAGGGCGGATCTATTCCATCTTATAGAGCTGCTTGAATCCTCCTGATGGCAATAGGGTTTGGTATGGTTGCTGTTGTACTGTATTTTATGGTGGTTACCTAGACATAATCTGTAGCAAACTGTGCTGAGACTCCAAATGCCACATGTCTCTAGCAGTTCTAAGCCACCAGCAACTCTAAGGCAGAAGCATGGATAGTCTCCGCCAGTTGCAATTTCCAGTCTTCGAAATTAGAGTCCAGATTGACTGGACAGATGTAAGCAAGTGATATTTATCTGCCTCACCCATTGGGCTGTGAGCTCCATGAAGTAGGGATCCTCGCACGTACTCAGAAATGGGAAAGAGGAGGAGCAGCAGTATTTTTGTATAGATGGGTTTTGGTGGCACGGGTACAAAAATCAAAGTTGTCATCAAGATTTTTAAATGTAAAAGAAAGGAGGGGGAAAACCATATGGTCACTGGTGGTATGTACAAGTTCTGGCTTCCTTCCCACTGGACTGGATGTGCTGGGACTAGTTCCCAACATGAACCTATAGTTTCCCAGAGATCACATAGCCTTGTTGAGACAGTGTCCAGTCACAGGGGCAGGCTCCCACCCGTGGACACTGACTGTGGGACACCCTCTCCTGCAGGCCCAGGACCCTTCCTGAGCTCTGATTCCCCTCTCCTTGTCATTTTATAAAGCACTGGAGACCATACAGCCTGTTTTCCCTTCCCATTTTTAAATAGTCACAAGATGACAAGCTTGGGTTTTGTCTCCCTGCCCCCAGCAATCGTATGTTTCCTGAAGTGGGGTTTCAGGGAATACCATTTTCTTACTGGTGTTGTGTATTCCTCCTACATTCATCAAGACACCTGGGCTCACAGAAAGAAGCGAGCACTGACTATGGTCAGCTGCTAACTAAAAGGTTAGCAGCGTAAGTGGCACTTCAGAAGACAGACTTGACAACGTACATCAAAAAATCAGTTCTATTCTGACATGTAGATGGAGTCAGAACTGACTCCCCAGCAACTGGTTTAGGTTCTCAGAATACCTTCTCAGTGTTGCATCCAAAGAAGGCACTGGACGTGCACCTGCTGGTGGGAATTGAGAAGATGGAGAGGGGTGAGGAGGGAGAAATGAGTAGACTTGATGGGAGATTAATTGCACAGGAGTCCATTGACTGCATGACTGAAGCTGGATTTTTTTTTTCTTTTCTTCAGAACCGCTGGCTGCCTTCACATTTCCTGGTGGAAGTGGGCTAGGTCAGCAGACAACCCAGAGTTACAGATAACTTTTGCCCACACACACACTTTTTGGAGGGTTGGCTTGAAATTGAGAGGCGTGTGCGTGTGCATGTGTGTGAAACTCAAGTGCCTCCTGTGATTCCCTGAGGTCCCAACACTCTCTTCAAATGGGCTGATTACAACAGAGGATGTGGACAGTGGAGTTTTTCCTGTTTGAGGTCATACTGCTACCCTTTAAAAGTCTGAGGGGGAAAAGGAGGGAATCAAGCCTCAAATCCTCACTCCAGATACCCACAAGGAAGAGGAGGAGGGAAAAAGACTGGGGGTCAAGTTTCAAACTCGGACCTGCCATCCAGAGAGCCGCGATGTTGGGGGCCCGCCTCAGGCTGTGGGTCTGCGCCCTGTGCAGTGTGTGTGGCATGGGCAGTGTCAGAGCCTACCCCAACGCCTCTCCGCTGCTCAGCTCCAGCTGGGGTGGCCTCACCCACCTGTACACAGCCACCGCCAGGAACAGCTTCCACCTGCAGATCCACAAGGATGGCCATGTGGATGGCACACCCCATCAGACCATCTACAGTGAGTAGGGGCTTCAGCCTGGGAAGAAGGGACGCTCTTCTGTCCATCCACCTGCAAGGGGCTTGGGGATGTCCTGGGCTAATCCAGAGGCTTATCCAGCTTCCAAGCATCTTGACCAGAACTCACTTATTTAGTGAGTTATTTAGTTATCACTTATTTAGTGAGTGTCCCTTAACCAAGGGACAAGGTTCTCCCAACTCTCTAATTCTGTTCACTGGTTTATCCTAACACAGCTTCTGTCCTGACTAAATCCCTCTTCCTACCTTAGGAGCCCATTTTTTTTCCCCTCTGCCCTAGCAGCCAAAATGTGCAGAGAAAGGTAAGGAGACTGGGAGGAAAGAAGCTGGACAGAACAACAGCCACCTGTCCTGAGCTCATGACAGCTCACCAGCCTGAATTAGAAAAGTTATAAAAGACAGTCCTGTGATAAACCAAAGAATAGACTACCTCGGGCTTTTGCCAAGTCTAATATTATGGCCTTATCTTTAATATCTTAAAAAATAAAAAGGTGTTGAGGAGAGATTATTTAGGTATGGTATTTTGAAGAACCTGGAACAGATGATCCCTTGAGAATCCATCCATGTATCTGTCTGTCCAGACACTCATCCATCGATAAAACAGCTTTAACCGGGTGCTTCAGACATGCCCAGTCTGGTAGGAGTTGGTGATTCTTCTCTGTAAAGCTGAAAAGTATCCAAAGCGGTATTAAGTTAAGCTAGCTGGGAGTTCATTACTATTGTCTATAGCCAGAATCTTTTCAAAGACCACCAGTTGTCATCGAGTCGATTGTGGCTCCTGGTAACCCCAGGCACACCAGAGTAAAACAGTCCTCCCAGGAGCTGGCTTTCAGTGGCCGACTTCTTCCAAGGTATACAGCCAGGACTTTCTTTCAGGGACCTTCCAGGTAGACAGGAGCCTCTAACATTTGGCGATCAGCCAGGCACTTAACTCTTTACATCACTCAAAGACTCCTTTTGAAGACTGTGTTTATGAAGAGCTGGTTCACAAGCCCTAGTAGTCATTCACTTAAGCTCCATTTTGAGTGAGAGCCCATTGTATACACCTATATATGGTTGGCAAGAGTTCTGGTAGTTAAGATTTCAGTTGCTAACTAAAAGGCCAGTGGTTATCAGCCACTTCACAAGAAACAAGTGAGACGATGTGCTTCTGTAAGTATTGACAGCCTTAGGAACCTCACAGGCAGTTCTACTTTGTCCTACTGTGTCAGTGAATTAGAATCAAGTCCATAGCAGTGGGTCAGTGGGTTTCATTTTGGTTTATAGAATCATCAGGAGGCAGAACTGGCTCCATGGTAAGAGACTTGAGTTTTTGGAGAGAGAGAGTGTGTCTGTATGTGTGTGTGTGTGTGTAAGGGGGAGTTGATATTAAAAATACAGCTTTCCTACTTAAGAAGAATATGTAAAAATTAAGAACACAGAAAAGTGCAAACTAAATCAATAGAGATCAAACTAAGGATGAAAGACTACTCATAGTTTCTGCTTAACTAACTAAAACTGCTTATAGACATTATGATTTACCCTTCATAGTTGGGATAAACTAGTCAATATTTTTACTATTACCTTGTTATATGTAAGGGGTTCATGATGCGAGGAATAAAGAATCCTTAGACCTGGTAGAAAGATATATGCACCAAAAACAAATAGTTCAAACCTCTACAAATGTACAATAGGTGGCAACAAGAGATGGGGTAGGGGAGAAAAGGTCACTTCAAATACCAAATTGGTTCCAGAGCTTAAGAAATAGTACGAATCAGGAGTTTTAGAAGCCAAAGTTTGAGTCTACTCAAAAGCTGGAAATAAATTTGAATGCAATGGTAAATCCAAAGTGCTGCTCATTTTATTTTTATATTTAATAGAACCTATAAAGACTGTAACAATCATATCAGAGATGGTGAAGACAGTGCAAAATAGGAAAAGGTACAGATCTGTCGTTCACTGGGTTGCTATGAGTTCAACTCGACTCAGTGGAGCCTAACAACAGTATAATGTGTATAGGAGCTCTGGTGCCTAGTGATTAAGGAGTTGCAATGCCAACCCAAAAGTATGTTGTTCTAATACACCAGCTGCTCCAAGGGAGAAAGATGGGCGATCTCCTCCCATGCAATTTAAAGCCTCTAATAACCTGCTGGAGAGTCAGCTATGACTTGGTTCCAACGCAATGGTAATGAGTTGTTTTGTTGATAATATGTATAACACGTACTGGTGGCATATTATGTAACATATCTGACTGCTAACAAAAAGGTCATCTGTCCAAGTCCACCAGGCACTCCCCTCAGGGGGAAAAGACAGGCACCCTTGGAAACCTAATGGAGTAAGAACCAATGAGATGGCAAAGGCTGGAGCTCTGATGGCCATTTGCTCAAGGCATTGATCTGCCAACCTAAAGGTCAGTGACTTGAATCCTCTAGCCATTCCTTGGGAGAAATATGAGGTGGTCTGCTTCCATAAAGATTTAAGGCATTGTTGTTGTGCACCATTGTGTCAGACTTGACCCATAGCTGACACTCTGGCAGATTTTCAGAGGCAGGTAATTGCATAGGAGGAACTGTCCATCTTCTGCAGAGCAGCTGGTGGATTCAAACGATGTGCCTTTGGGATTGCAGTGCAGCTTGCCACTAGGCCACAAGAGAAGGCCTATAATGTCTTACAAGGTCACAACGAGTCAGAATTGACCCATAGCAATGTGTTTCTTTTTCTCTTGCAACCAGACCCACCTCAAAACTCACTATACTTGTTATCCAATTGGAAACAACTCAAAGGTGGCCCTCCAACTGGTGCCCAAGGCTGTAAATTGCACAGGAGATTGTCCAACAATCCCCCAAGGAGATGCTGGTAGATTTGAACCATCAGAGAAGAGCAGTCTTCGAGCTAGCCGCACAACTTTCTATAGACGATGCCACCAGTTTCCTGTCTCCCTTCATGGAGGGTCATCCTTACTTCCACTGCAAGACTCAGTGATTTAGAATTATGGAAAGTAGATTATTAAAATTAATTTTTATTCCCAAAGATGGAAACTTCCCTAGAATCATGGAATCTCTTTGCCAGAAGAAACACCTCAGAAACAGACTCTCCTTTTCCAGAATCTAGTGAAAACATGCCAAGCCAACTATGGTGGCCATGAACAGTGTGCAGAGTGCTGTCTATGTCGTGAGCAGTCTCAGCTGTAAACTTTGCTCTCAAATATCCCCCAGAGTCATCCCCACAGGACTCCAGTGAGCACCTCATCAATATATGTCAAGGTTTCTATTGATGGAAGGGTTACCAAGGTGGGTTTTTGTGTTTCTTTCTCCTAATTAATTCTATACTTCCAGTGAGATCTAATTCATCTGATTATGCAGCTTTAGGAAATTAAGTTCAGTGTCCATCTCAAGAGATTCATGGTTTTTTTACAAAAATGAAAATATCTGCATTCAAGATTATATAACCCTCCCAAAGTTCACAAACGCTGGCAGCAGGGATCCTCAGTATAAATAAGCCCACCCTTTCACATCCCATTATTCTCTTTGTGAAAACAGAAGAAAAGAGATGCTTATTAGCCCTGGTTACCATCACTTCCTAGATTCTAATATTTTTACTTCCTCCAACTCTCTCACTGAATAAAGAGAAGCTCATTTGAAGCTCAATTAGCCTCAGGCCCTTGAAGCCTTCCTAATATATTTTTTTTTCCTTTGAGGGGCTCAAAGCACTTGACATTTATCATTTACGGCCTTTGAGAAGAGAATGGAGCAAATAATTTTCTAAATTTTTAGCCAAGACTGAAATTAGGTGCTTACAGTAACAAAATTAGCCTTTAGAAAGTAACTAGTGTATGAAAATGACCTTCTTATAGCCTCAAAATGTCCAGATCAGATCAGTATTTCTATTGTTCCATTCTTCAGACAATAAAACAGGTTTAAATAACTCACATCTGGTTCAAGATCAAAGAGGTAAATAAATTACCTGGAGGACAACTTGATCTCAAATTTCATGCTTTTTCCAAGGCACATGCATAAAGATACCTTCTGTCAAGGAAGGAAATTAACTGAGTCTGCTCCATGTAACAGGCAGTGGTTCAGCTACAGTGACTTGTTCGTTTTTCCTACCAGACTTCCCTTGAATCCATGGAAACCATGGACTTTCTACGTCTTAGATTTTCTACCTTTCAGATCTGTTTGTGTCACTTTGATACAGGAATCTGGGCACCCTGCACAGTAGCTTCTCCCAGCTCCTCTCAGATTGTTTTCTTAGGAAACTAGGTATAGGTGTGCCACACGCAAAGCTCACCCTGACCCCAAGCATGCAGGCAGAATGACTTCCTGGGGATGGCTGTGTCACCAACAGTAGGTGAGCACATAATATTGTCATGCCTTCCATTTGTTCAAGAGTTTACATGTCACTCCCCAGCCATTATCCCATTTTATTTCTGAGTGACATGATGTAGAAGGCAGGACAGCTACATTATTTTTCTCATTTTACAGCTAAGGAAATAGACTGAGGAAATGAACTGGCTATGTTATATTGTGAGTAAACTACAGAACTAGGAGCAGAATCCAAATCTCCTGATTGTTGGATCAGTGCCCCTTCCTGGACCCACTCAGGGCCACCATGACTTGGAGCTCCCCTAGGACCTGCAGTATTTATTTTGGCACTTGATTTTGTCCTCTCATATGATTTCTGTTAGAGGTCCACTATAGAGAATGGGAAGAGGATGTCAGCGTCATTGTTGGAATCCCACCGTAGTTTCCTTATAGTCTGAGTTACATTACTGCTATTACCAATAACAATGGGCGCTCTGGCGACTTAGTGTGCTTCCAACCCAAAGGCACATGGTTCTAACTCACCAGCTCACAGAGGGAGAAACATGGGCAATCTCCTGTGTGATTAACCTGCCTCTGAAAACCCGCTGGAGAGTCAGCTATGAGTCAGTGCCAACTCTACGATCCACAATCAATAATACTAGCTATGTAAGTTGTTTTGAAAAGTTACATATATAGAACACATCTATAGAACAACCACTCAAAACACAGTTACTGAGTATAATTTCCTCCTTCCGCACTACGCCCTCCCCAACAATTAGACTGATAAACTTATCAGGACAGAAACTATTTCCAATATGTTCCCTCAGGCCTTACCACAAAATTAGCCATACATTTGAGACACATAGGCAGACATCATTTTGGAGCAAATGAAATGCCCCTCCCACAATCCCCCATGCACCTCCCCTAACTCCCCATGATTCCTAGAAGCTTCTGTCCTATTCAGGTAGTAAATAACTTGGAGGACAACAGGACCCCTTATCCTATGGCTAGCATTCAGTCTTTTCCCCCCTTTAGCCTGATTCCTTTTTCTTTTTTGGTTCACTCCACTTTCATTCCCTATGTCCCAAATCATTCCAACATCAGTCCCTAAAGGCTCTAAGCTTATATCTAATCATACTCTCCTGAGAGGCATTTACCCTGAGCCTACCCAGGGTAGAGAAGCAGCCTTGGGCTTCACATCAGGTGCTGCCACTTATTAAGGCACAGACCTTAGGAGGTATTTAAAGCTCTCAAAAAATGTTTGTAGAGGAGGGATTTAGAATTCCTGCTTTGCTTAATTTCCAGGGCTTATAAGTAGGAAAAGGGGGGGGAGCACTCAGAAATTCTGCAGTAGGCAAATGGCAGTTGTTATTAATGCGGGGCTTCTGATGATCCTCAATGACTTAAATTATTTTAACAGAAAATCTCAGGTTGCTGAACAGTACATGGGGCAGACAATTACCAAATTATCATTATCACTCAAATCACATCATACATGACTTAACTGTACTATCACCATAAAACAGGGGACTAGTCTTTAGTTATTTGAAGAGTTATTGATCGATACTTGTTAAAAATGCAAGCCTCATGATGGGGTGTTACACTTAAAATGTAACAATAACTTCTGTTCCTGGGTGGTGTGAAAGAGCCCTCGCGGCACTCACTCCTTCATTCCTATCGAGTTGGAACCAAGTCATAACTGACCCTCCACTGGGTGTCCAAGGCTCTAAATCACACGGGAAGAAACTATCTTTCTCCCTCAGAGTCACTGGGAGACTTGAACCACTAGCACAGCTCCCTACAGACGAGGCCACCAAAGCCTTCCAGGCTAACGGATTTCAAGAAACAGAAAAAGGAGAGGAAGGTCAATTCTAATCCAATGCTTGACTTTTAGTGGGTGCTCAAAAAATCGCTGATGGCAGAAACATGGACTACTTCTGAAGTATATGGGTGGAGCATCTGACCACACAAACTGAGTCCGGGAAAGATATTTTGGAGTGGGAAGAATGTGGTATGATGAAGCCTGCATAATTAATATCATAAAACAAAACCCCATGTAAAATGGTTGAATAGAACACATATTTGTTTTGTAAACTTTCTGTCAAATCACAACAAAAGAAAGGACAGTATCTTGGTTGTTGTTGATTGTCTTCAAGTCAAGCAGAGTCACAGTGACCCTATGAACAAAAGCCTGAAGCCCCTCTAGAACTATCCTCATTTATCAAAGTTCATAAAGTTTCCAGGTGCTTATTGTTTAGGAAGTGGATGCCACTCCTGCTTCTAACAATTTTACTATATCAAAATCCTTTGGAATATTATCAGGGAGGCACTCAAACAAGATCAAAATGGCAGTATTTGCCTAGGGAGAAAACTCAGAAGACAGCAAGAAGGGTATAAGGTGAATGGACATGAGAATCACAGGGAAGAAATGGGAAGAGTGCTGTTACAACACTGGGACTGACTGCACCATGGTATGGGAAGCCCGTACCATAGTACAGGGGTGGAGAGGTGCAACACCACTAGCTACTGCACTGGGTGACACTAGCTGTAGTGACACCACTGGCTATGACTGCTTGTGCAGTCATGATGGCTCTTAAAATCAACCCATGAAGATTTCATGATAATGGATTTCAAAAAGGGCTTGAAGGGGTGAATTAATAATAAGGGTTTGACATGTCTGCTTTCTCCATAGGCGCCCTGATGATCAAATCAGAGGATGCTGGCTTTGTGGTGATAACAGGGGTGATGAGTAGAAGATACCTCTGCATGGATTTCAAAGGCAACATTTTTGGATCGGTGAGTCTTTTCTTGTGCCAGTGACCATTTGAAAACAAACACTGACTTGCTCTGAGATTTTTACATTTATCGCTTAAAGATTCAATGTGCACTGTACTCCAGTCATCTGTAGTCAACCAGTACTTCAGTCTACAATATCCAATGCTCGAGCTTATACAGCTGAACTTTCAAACTTTTGGTTCTAGTTTCCATGCTCTTAATTTCTTATATCATCCTACATAGTAACTCCTGGAAGCTCTGCAATACAGATACCTAGATGTAAAATCCCCACAGAAAACTAACAGTAATCTCACAGATATCATTACCACCAGTGATCTCTTTGTCATAGCCAAGGTTGTGATTGTTGTTAGGTGTCATCAAGTCAACCATGACTCAAAGCTACCCTTTTTTTTTTACATTATTTATTTCTTTTTTTTAATCTAAAACACTATTTTATTACTATACTTAACAGCATAGATGTTGAGTTCTTCAAGCATTTCATAGTTTTCCTTCTATCCTTTATGATCACCCATCTTTTTTTATTTTATTAATTTTAATGAACATTTACAGAGATTTTGGATTTCCATTCATTGTTGCACTATTTTTTCTACCCCCTCCTCTCTTTTCTTTTCCCCTTGAAAGTCTGTTTTAATTGTCCCATTGCCACAGTGCTTGTCAAAACTACCCTATCTTTTGTTCAAAAGATCTGAACCCTGTTCTGTCCTGCACCATCCTCACACATCCTAACACACAAGAGCCCATTGCAGCAGTCACTGACTGTATCAATCCACGTGGTTGAGGGTCTTCTTCTCCTTCACCAACACTCCACCCTTCCCAACATCGAAAAGCACCTCATAGCAACATGTCCAAAGTATGTGAGACGAAGCCTCATCATTCTTGCCTCTAAAGAGCACTCTGGCTGCACCATCTCCAAGACATATCTGTTCATTCTCTTTGCTGTCCATGGGATGTTCAGTGCTCTTCTCTAACACCACAGCTCAAAGGTGTCTATTATTTTTCTGTCATCCTTATTCATTGTCCAGGTCGCAGATGCATAGCTAGTAATCAGACTATGGCTGAATCAGACAAAAGGTAGCTTCTACAATTTCCATACCTCTTAGCATGTGGCAACATTCTTTATTTGAAAGTCAGAAAATTAATGTTTTTGAGTATATGACAAGAGATAGAAGCCACAGCCAGCTTCTTGATTCCGTTTCTGTGACCTTCTCTTAATTTCATTGAGAGAAGTGTGACTCTCATTTCTTTCAACTTTGAGCTCCTCACCTACAAAACATGCAGTGAGATATGACTGGGGAGACCCCTACCAGTTTAAAGATCTCAAATTATCTCTGACCCAAGTGTGATTAACTGGTCATTCAAATGTGTAAGAAACAAATTTCCCAAACTAAAGTTGTAGACATATTCCAAAGAATTATTTTAGACTTTTGATTGTGTTTTGAGTTAAAAATTTACAGAAACACTGGTTTGACGATCATTCACACAGATTCTGGGTTTTTACCTTAATTACATACACTCCCCACATTTTAACAGCCCTCTTTGCATTTCCTCTGATTCTGATTTCCATTCACCTTCTAGCCTATATCTTTCTACCTTCTGAGTTTTCTCCCTAGGCAAATACTGCCCTTATGATCTTTCTTGATGGTTTTAAGGAACACTTCCCTGGTGATATTCCAAAGGGTTCTGAGATAGTAAAATTGTCGGAACTGCTTATCTCAGGAGCTGCTCACCACCACCCGACATACCTATTAGAAATCACATGACCACAAGGCCATTTTGTTTTGCTCACTTCTGTGTCTTGTTCAGAAAAGACCCTCAATAAATATCTGTTGAACAAATACAGAAACATCTTAATAGGTTTCATCTGTCACATACCTACTTCAGAGAGTCTGAGGATTAAGTTCAGTAACTTACCCTTCCGCCCTAATTGCTGTTGAGTCAGAACCATCTCATAGCTGACCCTCTAGCGGGTCTTCAGAGGCTCTAAATCACATAGGAGGAGCCTGACCATCTTTCTTCCACGGAGCAGCTGGTGAATTTGAATCACCTGTCTTTGGGTTGGCAACACAACTCCTTACTTTTACCCACCAAGCCGCCAGAGCTCGCTCTCAATCACACCATGCTCTGTCTAGCACAAGGCATTGTCTAATGATGTTGGGAGAAAGCCCTTGTCTCTTTTGAACTCTGCTCCTGAGCAACCTCCGTGTGAGAAGCACCGCTTCTCTTTCATCTAAAAGAGCTGCCGAGGCCCTGATTAAGGCAAATGGGTCTCAGCTACTAACTCACAAATTGGAGATTCAGATCCACTTCTTTTTTAGTTTGTTTGTTTGTTTTTTGGGGGGGTGTACCGTCAAATCAGATCTGACTGGTACAGGAGGAGATTGCCCCTCCTTCTCCTGCAGAGCATCTGGTGGATTCGAACCGCGTACCTCTAAGATTGCAGTGCAGCTTCTTGCCAGTAGGCCACCAGAGCTCCCTCAGATCCACTTCTTAAAAGCTCATTGCCCTGGAGTCAGAACAGACTCCTAGTGGACCCTCCGGCTGGTTTTCAGAGGCTGTAATTTATCCGGGAGGAGACTGTCTACCTTACTCCAGTGGGGCAGCTGGTGGATTCGAACCACCACTTGCAGCCAGAGCTCCCTGCCACGTCCACTTAGGGGTGCCTTAAAGGCCTAGGGATCCACTTCTGCGTGGCCACAGCCATTGGAAACGAGAACCCTGGGGAAAGCACACGGTTCCACGGTGAACCGACTCCGTGTCAACTGTCTTGGTGTTGGGGTTTAATGGCGCTGCCGTTTTGCCGCACTAGCATAGGCAAGGCCGGCATCTATGCAAAGGATGACACATAGTAAGGGTCTCAGGCTTCAGGAAGGGGCTGGGGGCTAGGAGCTGTGCGGGCTCGCCTTACCCGGGTCCCTTCCGCCCTTTTCAGCATCACTTCAGCCCCGAGAACTGCAGGTTCCGCCAGCGGACGCTGGAGAATGGCTACGACGTGTACCAGTCGCCGCAGCACCACTTCCTGCTCAGCCTGGGCCGCGCCAAGCGGACCTTCCTGCCCGGCGTCAACCCGCCGCCCTACTCCCAGTTCCTGTCGCGAAGGAACGAGATCCCCCTGATTCACTTCAACACCCCCAGGCCCCGGCGCCACACCCGGAGCGCCGACGACCCTATGAACCTGTTCAAGCTCCGGCTCCGTGTGACCCCGGCGCCAGCCTCCTGCTCCCAGGAGCTGCTCAGTTCCGAAGACGACAGCATGGCGCTGGCCAATGACCCTCTGCAAGTGGTCAGAGACGCCAAGGGCAATTCACACGCCGGTGGGATGGCGGTGGAAAAGTGTCGCCCCAGCCCCACGTCGAGCTAGGGAAACCTGGAAGGATTACTTTTTAACCAGTTGTTCAGCCAACTAAACCATTTGTAGGAGACCAGTCAGGACCTTTTACACTCCCAAGAAGGATAAGATGGGGTGATTTGTGGAATTAGCTACTTCTTTTTCTCCCAAGAGAGTCTCTGAGAGCCAACCTTTGAGGGCTGAATAATGGAATTTCAAGGCCTTCCCTAATCCTACAATAAGAGTCCTTAATAGATCAACTAAAACATTTTCTTTAAGAGGAGAGAAGGGATTGGTTTTTTTCCCATATTTCTCTTTACCCTCCCTCCCTCCTTGTCCATTTTAGCACCAACCAAGCAATGACTTAGTGAGTTCACTGCTTCTGAGGTGTGAGACAGCGTCCTCATTGCACAAAGCCTTTTTCTTCCTGGACTGGGGTAGCAACTGGGTTGGCAAATCTTGATCAAAGCTATCAACAGATGAACTAAGCAATTTGATGAAAATCCTAATTTCAAGGATTTGTTCTTCCTCAGGCAACTTTGGGGAAGAACTCTCAAAAAGATTGGTGATAGGTTGATCAAAAATTAAATGCTCAGTGAACACAGGAGAAAAGAAAAAAAAAATGCCAGAAAACGCATCCTCCCTGGCAGGGTGGGAATGCTTTGCCATGCTCTCTTCTGATAATACCAGGAAGATAAGCATGGATGGCCCGGCTCCACTTCCAAGTGGCTAAAGAGATAGGTTTGCCTCTTCGCCCCATCTTCAATTTGAGTAATTTGGCCTAAGGAAGAACTTTACTATCAGTTGATGAAAGCCTATTCTTCGAGAGGATTTGTCTTCCCAAGTGAAAATGAAATTCAAAACTTTCTAAGAGGCATTTAATGAAGCCTATAATTTCAGATTGAGTAGCAATGCATTTTGGATAAATCACAAAAACATTACTGCTGTGGGAAAGGGGCCTTGAGACAATGGGGCTACTCTGGCTGGGTTAAGTTTTCTGTAGACTGTTAAATTCAGTCCTTTCCCCTAAGTAAATTGTATCGAGAGCTCAGAGAGAAAGATGCTCAATACCAAAGTATAAAAGTTATAGAAAGACCACACCATCAGCACTCACACTCAACCAAGATTTCTGTGGTGATCTACAGCGGTAGCTATTTAATTAGTTGAAACATTCTTCGCTTGACAAGTGGGGCCTCACCCACTTGGGAATTCATGGAGAATTTGTTGAAGATGAAGACAGCTTTCAGTTTCAGGAGACCCGGTTCTATCCTGAGCAAAATAAAGCCTCAACTACCAATCAGCAGAGGAACACCAGAAGGATGAACTGGTGCTGGCTAGCCTTGCTCCTTGACTGAATCTTCCTGAAAAGAGACCCTTTGTCCTACCTCTATTTAAATGAATTCCTAGAAAGTAGAATATTTACAAGGGAATTATATTTAAATAATTGTTTATTCCAAGTCAACTTTTCTCTTTCACTGCTACAAACCTTAGAAAATTACTCATTTACTTACCAAAGACACATAAGACAACTATTTTTCCCTGATAGTCTTAAAAGGAACCTGAAAGACCACATTCTAAAACTATGCATACCCTATATAATAGGCCATGGCAAACATTGGCTTTCTACTTGTCATTCCTTCCTATTGGAGTTATTATCCTACACAATAACTACTGAAGTTCTGCAATACTGATAAGTTGATGGAAAATCTCCAAGGGACTTTGGTAGACCATAGGTTGTAATTTCACAGACACCACCATCATCACCGCAAATGTTCTCTTTGGCACCCGCTGCAATTTCCCAGACCCTTAGCATATGGCAATATTTATTTATTTATTTGAAAGATTTTTGCCTATCAGTCTGTATTTATAAAACTGTAACCCTTTTTCCTTTATATGGTTTCAAAGAAAAATAAAATTAATCTCAGCTTCTGTTAGCGTCTTATTTCCATATTGTTCTGGTGCACCGTAGAGTCAGAACCGGCCCTTACAGAGGTAGTTAATTTCATGGGAAGAGATTGCCCATCCTTCTCCCTCGGAGCAGCTGGTGGCCTCAAACTGTATGCCTTTGGGATTGCAGCACAGCTTCTTGTCAGTAGGCCACCAGAGCTCCGTATATTAGTAATATATGTAATTTCTATATTATTCTATTAAATATGATGTTAAAGTTTAAGAATAAAAGCGATAATGGGAAGCATTGAGAAAATACAGTAAAATAGTTTTTAAAAGTTTATCAGAATTTTAAAATATTCAAAGTTTTTTTCACCTCATTTATAAGCAGACTCCACCATTTTTATTAATCCAAGTAGAACTATGGGAAACAAGGAAATTTCATCAATTTTCAATATTTGATCACTCAATCTTGAACCATGGATGATAGAGAATTGATGCCTTTGAGCTGTGGTGCTGGAAGAGTGTTGAATATACCATGGACTGACTGCTAGGAGAACAAACAGGTTTGTCCTGGAGAAGGTGAAGCTGGAATGTTCCTTGGAGTCAAGGATTCTGAAGCTTCGTCTGACATACTTTGGGCATGTTGCAAGGAGGGACGGGTCCTTGGAGAGGGACATCATGTTTGGGAGAGTGGAGGGACGGCGCAGGAGAGAAAGACCCTCGATGAGATGGATCAATTCTGCGAGTGGAGTGGTGGGAATGAGTGTGTTTGAGACAGCGAGGTTGGCACAGGATAGAGCAGCGTTTAGGGCTCTTGTACATAGGGTCGCTATGAGTTGCAAGCAACTCAATGGCACATAACAACAACAAGTATCTCTAACAAGGAGCCCCTGTTGGCATGGTGTATAATTTATCAGGATCCTAACTGAAAAATTGACAGTTTACATCAACAGCAACTGCTGGGGAGAAAGATGGACAGTCTCCTCCCATAAGGATTTACAGATCAGAAATCCAATAGAGGGTTGCTATGAATTGGAATCAACACAATGGCAGTGTGGGTTCTAGTTCTGACATGTTTTGTTTAGCTAGAAAAACTTTTACTAAAATCCACAGCAGCATCTATCCCAATAAACTAAATGTCCTGTTTTAGCACATGTACAATGTCACTGCTCTGTGTGCTGGACAGAAGGACACAAAGATAATGAATCCAGATTGCCTTCTCTTCTCAAAGTAGACATTCCCAGAATGCCGCCTTCAGTCTCCAATGGCAAGGCTACCAAAACACAGGAAGCAAACATGTTCATGACACATTTAGTTCTCTGTATTTAAATTCACGCTAGCTCGAGCCTATAGTTTTTCATTACTTTACTGTCGCCATCAGTGTCTCTGCCTGTTTGGATTTAGAGAATGTAAAAGCACTTAGGACAGGGTTCATGGTTTTTATGAACAGATCCAGATTACCTTATGACAAGGGCTGCAAAGTGAGCTCTTCTTTTTTTTTTTTTTTTAAATTAATGAAAGTTTCAGAGACTTAAGGTTTCCAGTCATTCATTGTTGCACTTTTCTCCCTGCTCACCCCTTCCCCACCAAATCACTCTTCTCCTTGAAAAGAAAAAGAATGAGCTTTCTTTTGATTATGACTTTTTAAATAATCCAAATCCTCAAACTTTGAGAAAAGATAAACCTCAGGTTGAATATGGGACACAGGTCAAAATTTTTTGATCATATAAAAATTTAAAAGGCAGGGACAATAATTATTGGCTTAGATGTTCTATCCAGTCCCTAATTTTAAGGAAACAATTTGGCTTCTGCTTACAAAGTTTAAGGAGCTCTGGTGGCCTAATGTGTTGTGTGTTGGACTGCTGACTAAAAGGTCAGTGGCTTAAACCCACCAGTTGTTCTTCAGCGGAAAGAAGAAGGTAATCTCCTTCCACAAAGACTTCCAATCTCAGCTGGAACCCTCCAGCTGCTGTGAAGGAAACAGATGAGGCAGTTTGCTTCTGGAAAGATGTATCGCCTTGGAAACCCTACAGGACAGTTCAAGTCTACCCTACAAGGTCACTGAGTCCGAATCAACTCGAAGTCAGCTGGGTTTTAACCAATACTTTTCAGGCCAGAATTGCTAATTCTGTTGTTATGTGACATCAAGTCAGAACCTATTACTACTATCCATCAGCTTTTCAGAGGCTGTAAATTGCACGAAAAGAGACTGTTCCTCTTTCTTTCAAGGAGCAGCTAGTGGTTTTAATTACCTGCCTAGTGTTGGCAGCACAACTCAAAGGCAGTGAGATTTTAGGCCCCCAGTGTCTTTTGCATATGATCTATGCATATTTTCCATTTAAAGGTTCTGATTGGGAAAGTTTTAAAATAATGAGAATTTGTAGTAAAATAAAATTCTTTCCTACTCCTTGTTTCTGCCTGGTTTTCTTCTATTTTTTTCTCAGAAGGAAGCAATAAATAACACTGAGGTTTGCACTTGCTAGTAAATAACCTATCACAGTTGGGTTTTGTTTTTTTTTAAAAAAAAAAAGATCTATAGTCTCAGACACCTAACAGAGGGCGCCATGAAATGGCACCTCCTTGACCAGAGGTGGCTTGGGTTTGGTTTTACAAAATTAATCTGTCTGAACAGTATTTCAAGGGAAAATCATATTCTTAATTTTGTTTCTGGCCGAAAGGTCTCTGAAATCTGTAAGGATGGAGAGATACCAAACAATCCTTTAGGGAATAAATAAGCATTCATTCCATTATAGAAGAATTAAAATTGAAAGAGGAAAAAAGATATCCTTCTCATTTCAAAACAATTGGTGGGATGAGATGGGAGAAGAGGAGGAAGGAGAAAATGTGAATTATGTCAGATATTTATAGGGAGGGATTATTTTTTCTTTGTGTTTTTGGTCTATGTTCCATCAAATTGGATCTGACTGGTATAGGAGGAGATTGCCCCTGCTCCTCCAGTAGAGCATCTGGTGGATTCGAACTGTATACCTCTGGGATTGCAGTGCAGGTTCTTGTCATTAGGCCACCAGAGCTCCCCTATAGGGAGTTTTATGATTCTCAAGATTTAAAGTGCATCCTTTGTCTTTTCTACATGATTATAAATCATCATGGAAGATTTCATTACAACACTTACAAACATTTAT